ATTCCGTGCGCCTTGGTGTTTAGTCATGCCGGCCACATGACCACGGAAACGTCTTCGGACAGCGCTGGCTCTTCGGCTTGGAAACGGAGATGAGCACCGCAACCCTAGAGTCGGACTCAACTGGCTTTCGAGCAAGGGAACCTTTACCTTTAACGTAAAGTATGCGTGCGTGTGGCCTTTTCACGCCACTCTCGGTGATGTGGGGGTCCTCTATCCCTCCTCTGCCCCCCCCCCAAGAATGTCGATGAAAAGGTGAACAGTCCAAATCCGAAGTGGCGCCTTTAAGACCAACCAAGTTTTATCCAGAGTGTCCGCGTTTGTGTGCAAAGTACCATCGAGATCTTGAGGGTAGAGCGGCACCCCAACATGAGTGCGCCGTCGGCGGTGGCGACTCCCGCCTTTTCCTTTCCCCACGAGTCCAGCCCTTCCCAGAAAGTGCCTCCGGGTCACATCCGGCCGCCGGCGGAAGCAATGAGAATGGCGGGCTGTCTGCGGTTGCTAGGCGATGGTCGTCTGTGGGGCCGCGTTTGGGGCAGAGGGCAGGTAGGAGGCCGGAGGGGCGGTCCCGGGAGGCGGGGGCGGCGCTGGACTGCCTCGAGGGGGGGGGTCCCCTTCCCAGGCCTCGGCCCCTGCAGAGCCCACCCTCCGAGGCAGCCGTTTTCTCCAGTGGGGCCGATCTCTCGCCTCTCCCACGGGGAGATTTCCAGGGCCCACCTGGAGCGCTTGGCAACCGCGCTAGCCGAGGAGCTCCTGGAGGAGAAAAGAGGGCTCGGGGCCCTGCCCAGGAACGGTCTGAGGCGGAGGTAGCCGCCCTGGCGGGGACCCCGTCCTGTTTCTGGGGATAGACTGCTCTGGATCGTGGAGCCATTATGGCTGTTTTACTGCTTATGGGCTTTTCTTGAGGGAACAGTCAGGGTTGATTTCTTTTAAAGGTAAAGGTTCCCTTGCTCGAAAGCCAGTCGAGTCCGACTCTAGGGTTGCGGTGCTCATCTCCGTTTCCAAGCCGAAGAGCCAGCGCTGTCCGAAGACGTTTCCGTGGTCATGTGGCCGGCATGACTAAACACCAAGGCGCACGGAACGCTGTTCCCTTCCCACCGAAGTGGTCCCTATTTATCTACTTGCAATTTGTTGCTTTCGAACTGCTAGGTTGGCAGGAGCTGGAACTAGAGATGGGAGCTCACTCCATCATGCGGCACCCGGGTCTCGAACTGCTGAACTACTGACCTTCCACAGCCTGCAGTTCAGCGTCTTAACCACTTGAGCCACCGCAGCTCTTTTCTTTTAGGATTGACTTATTTGATCTCCTTGCAGCCCAAGAGTTTTCTCCAGCACCATAATTCGAAAGCATCTAATATTCGGCAATCGGCCTTCCTTACCGTCCAGATCTCGCAGCCATACATTACTACTGGGAATACCATCGCTTTGACCTCACAATAAAAGTACGCTGGTAGGACAAGTGGGGAAAATCTTCTTCTGTTCCTCGCTTTCTTGCTCTCCAGGCCACCAGTCCTTTGACATTCCTCTTCTTTCCTCCTTTGGCGTCCTGCTGGTTTGTCCTCCTCCGTGACCAGCGCCTCATCCGCCTGTCCCTGGTCTTCCCGCCTCCATCTTGCTTCCCTCACCTTCTTCTCAAGTAGTGACCACCTTCTACCTCACCTTGTTTTTCTCTGCTGTTTATTTAGCAAGGTAGGTAAGTAACTCCCAAAATGGTGGTATTGAAAAATGAGTTCTCACCATGGGATACATGGGATAAAATCAAGACAAAAGCACCAAAGTAAAAATTTAAAAATCCCCATTTAGAAATAACTTTTTTGATTTGTCTGAAATCATGGGAAACACCAGGTTTGTAAAAAAATAAAATCCATTGTCTGACCATGACCGCACAGATTTTGTTATCTGCATTCAGGGCGACTTAGTTAGATATATTGATGATGATACCAGCTTCGTTTCCACCCCTAATTGGTGGAAATTTATGTTTGAAATGTTTTTCTATGCACCAAATGTCCCAAATATATTCTGAGGGAAGACAGCTCCTCAGTTACAGTTATGGTTGCCAGCCAGGGCCGGCTCGCCCACTAGGCGAGCTAGCTGTTTGCCTAGGGCGCGCTGGTCCTCAGGGGCGCCAAACTACGCCCCCCGCCACCCTAACCGGCAAGAGAGAAAAGGCGACGGGGATTGAGGGTCTCTGCCCGCCCCTCTCGCTCTCTCTGTGTCCGGCCGGGGTGGAGGAGGCAGAGGCGGCATGGCGGTGGCCAGCGGGCTATCGCCGCCGCCATGGGAAGGGGCTGGGGAGGGGAGCAAGGCCCCGCAGCAGCTGAGCCCCCCCTCCCGGCGAGAGAGAAAAGGCGGCGGGGACCGAGGGTCTCTGCCCGCCCGCCCCTCTCTCTCTCTCTCTGTGCCTGGCCGGGGTGGAGGAGGCACACAGGAGGGGGGGGATGGAGAACAGCTGGGGGTTTTTCCCTCCTCCGCCCCCCCCTTCGGGGGGCTGGTGGTGGTGGGGAGCCTCGGAGGGGGAGAGAAGAGCGCCCCTCCCCCATCCGCAGAGCCAACGCAGAGAAAAGGTGACAGCCGGGTCCTCAGAGTTCCTCCCTTAAAGCTGCCTGTGGAGTCTTGTGAGCAAAAACTCTACTTTGTGAGCTAGTTGGCATTAAAGTTGCGGCCTCTCTCTCTCCCTCCTGCCCCCAAACATACCCCCTGCCCGCCCCTTCGCTGCCCCCCCCAAAACCACACATATGCACGCACGCACACAGAGAGCAAAGACTCTTCCCCCCCCTCCTGCCCCCAAACACCCCCCCTCCCCGCCCGCCCCTTCGCTTCCCTCCCCCTCCGCAACCACACATATGCACGCACGCACACAGAGAGCAAAGGTGGGGGGGGGAGAGGGAAGAGACTAGGCTGGAGGAGCAGCAGGCTGCGTGGCATTGGCGTCCCTGAGCTCTTTGCTCTTCTCCCAGCCCAAACGTCCAAGTTTGCCAGGTAAGTTGGGGGAGGGGGTGGCCCCGGCGGCGCCATCCCCGCCCCACGGGTCCCCTCTTGACCAGGGGGCCCTCCTTGCCGCTGGGCAGCCCTGGGCAGAGCTGAGGCAACTTTGGAGCCTCCAAAGGGGGAGAGAAGTTGGACTAAGTTCTCTCCAGGTCCCGCCTGGAGGTTGGCAACATGCAGGGGGTTGCCAGAAGGTAGCCCCGCCTAGTGTGCAGCAAAACCTCGGTCCGGTCCTGTTGCCAGCCTCCAGGTGGAAGAGCTCCCAGAATTACAATGGATCTCCGTGCTACAAAGATCGGTTCCTTTAGGAGAAAATGGCTGTTTTGGAGGCTGAATTCAATGGCATCATACTCAGCCAGAGTTCCTCTCTTCACCACGCCCCTTACCTCCCTAGGCTCGACCTCCAAATCTCCAGGAATTTACAGAGTTGGCAACTCTATGAATTATTCTCTTTCCTCATCCACAGTTGCAGACCATAACTTGGGATGGCTCCGTTCAGGTTTACAGTGCTACCGTAAGAACACTGAATAGACCTGCCTAAGATTCTCAGCCTGGCTGAGGCAGTGGACATCCAATCCATCTTGGCCTCCCCAGCCCACAGAAATACATCATCAAACTAATCAGCCTACAGGGGGGCATTAAGGACTGCCCTGGAGGTTTTGTTTGTTTTTGCTGCCATCTTGGTTTATTGTCTGATTGTTTTAACCGTAAAGGTTCCCTTGCTCGAAAGCCAGTCAAATCCGACTCTAGGGTTGCGGTGCTCATCTCCGTTTCAAAGCCGAAGAGCCAGCGCTGTCCGAAGACGTTTCCGTGGTCGTGTGGCCGGCATGACTAAACACCAAGGCACAGGGAACGCTGTTACCTTCTCACCGAAGCGGTACCTATTTATCTACTTGCAATTTCTTGCTTTCTAACTGCTAGGTTTTAACTTGGATTTTATTATATGACAGTATTATTTATTTAGAGCCTAATTGTTGTAAGCTGCCCTGAGCCAATTTTTGGGATAGGGTGGGATATAAACCTAATAAAGTAAGTAAATAAATCTACACAATTCCAAGATAACCTCCACCACAGTCATACATTTAGCAGAAGAAAATCTAGAGAATGTTGGGAGATCTTGCAGCAGTCACATTTAATTTTCCACATTTTTCTTCACCCTTACAGCAAGCTGTGTCTGCTTCTCAAAATAGTATCTTTAATTGACAATAATATATGTGTACTTAGGCAGTAACTGTGGCTCTTCTAGTGTCATCTGCAAAGCATTGCAGGAAATCCATACAGGAATTCATGGGGTTTCATCTACACAGTTTAAATAGTCTTCTGAAATGCTGTGACTAATTCTACAGAACACCACAGGATCCAATAGCCTATGTCCTGTTCTTACTTTTTAGCAAAACCGATTGTTAGACATGTATGTAGAGAGGTCAGAGATGCTCTGGAGCAGCGAAAGAAGATATGATACAATACAGCAATTCTGAAACCATAAATCATAGCCTTCACTGGTAAAGTAATGGACTTTTGTTCATTTATTATGATGCAAACTGGGGGGCCGAGTATCACTCCTTAGCATTTTGCTCAGGACGGAGCCTTTGATGACAACCTTTAGAAAGTGGCCCACTGTTCAGAAACAATGGGCAACTATTATAGTAATTTCAAAGACCCCAAGAGGTCTATCTAGCGTGCTGAAGATTTTTTTTTTTTTGTTATACAAAATTGCAGGCATTAATGATCAGCTTGGAAAACATGGACATTCTTCCTTGGTTTCATCATTGAGTTGTTAGGTGCAGAATTGTTCCAGGAATTGGGGCAGACTCTCGAGAGGAGGAGAACCTTCCCTAATGGGGAAGGCTAAAGAATTGGATGTGTTTTGTTTTTGTTAATTTAAAGGGCAATTATGAATAATATAGGAAAAATGTATGTACAGAATTCCCCCCCCCTTTCTCTGTATCGAACAAAGTTGATGGGCAGTAGACTCAGCCCAGTTCCCCACAAGCAGCTGTGCTGCCCTCGCTCTTTCGTTTGCCCCGGTTGCATTGGTCAATTTCACACTGGCTGCATTTTGACCCGCATCTCCTCCTAATTTCCCCCGCGTCTTCTTGATCCTTGTTTTTTGAGATCGAGAAGACACGGGGGAAATCGGGGGTGGGGGGGAGAGATGTGAGTCAAAATGTGGCCGCACAGCAAATAGTCTGAAATTGACCAATGCAACCGGGGCAAACGGAAGAGTGAGGGCGGCACAGCTGCTTGTGGGGAATCTGTCTCGGACAAAAGGACTTCACGCTATGCATAATTAATGTGTGGAATTCACTACAACAGGATGTAGTAGCCACTGGGTTAGATTACTTTAAAAGGTCAGGAGGTAAATTCATTGATCTTATCAATGGCTGTTGGTGGTGGAAAGTGTCATCAAGTCAATCCTGACCTATGGCCACCCCATAGGGATTCCAAGGCAAGAGATGACGGACAGAGGTGGGTTTGCCACTGCCTGCCTTTGTCTAACAACCCTGGATTTCATTGGTGGTCTGCCACCCAAGTACTAACTACAGCCGACCCTGGTAACCTTCCGAAATCTGACAAGGTCGGGCTAACCTGGGCCATCTTGGTCAGGGCATCAGCGGCTGTTAGCCACTCTTATATTTTTATCCCGCTTTGCAACCAAGTAATGGCTTCTAAAGTGGCCCATGAGTCAGAATCTAATACAAACGGCAACCAAGCTTAAATTCATAACACTCCTTGGAGCTGGATTCTGAGCAGACCTTAGGCGAAGAAGAGGAGGAGGGAGGAGGAGATTGGATTTATATCCCACCCTTCACTCGGAGTCTCAGAGTGGCTTACAAACTCCTCTTCCTCCCCCCCCCACACAACAGACACCCTGTGAGGTAGGTGGGGCTGAGAGAGCTCTTTCAAGGACAGCTCTGACAGAACTACGGCTTGCCCAAGGTCATCCAGCCAGGTGCAAGTGGAGGAGTGGGGAATCATACCCGGTTCTCCCAGATTAGAGCCCGCGCACTTAACCACTACACGAAACTGGCTCTCATAGCGACCTAAGCACAATGAAAAGGTGCCTGGCTTCTTCTTACCCTCCTTTTGCCCTAAACTCCCACTTCAGAGACGGTGTCCCTCTGAAGACCACTTGCAGGAGAGCAGCAAGAGGGGAAGCGGGCTTCTTTGCTCTGCATCGGTGGTCCAGCTTTTTCCGACCACCTGTTCCTTCTTCACAGTCCTAAGGATCACACCGTATATTCATTTTCTTAGACCAGCTATGTTTTCCATTCACGTGGGTTCCCAGATTGCTGCATCTGCTTTGGACACTTGCTACCAGTTCTCTCCCATTTCCCTGCAGACATCCTTTGCTCCACCCAGGCCCCACTGTCTCTACACTTACTTCTGTCCCTGATTCTGCTCTTTAAAAGAAATT